CCTTCATATTGGCTCATAGGTCCAGCATCCTGTTCTTCCTGCCTCTAGTCTTGTCCCCTTTAATCTCTTCTTAGGAAGGTGAGCAAAAGAAAACACCACTACCTCATGTAGAATAGGCATAAGAATTAATTGGGGCAATTTACAAGGCAAAGTGTTAGAAAAATGTAGGAAATGGTCTCCTGTTCATTATTCAGATGTGCATGCTTGTTGAAGCTAGAATTTTTCAGTGGTTGTGTTAGTCACTTTTCCTCACTGTGACAAAATACCTGAGAAAACAACTTAGGGGAGGAAGGATATATTTTGGCTCAGTTTCAGGTTTGAATCGTTTCAGTCTGTGCGTAATGAGGCAGAATATCATTATTTAAAAGACTGTCCTTTCCCAAATGGATGTTTTTTGTGCCTTTTTCAAAGATCAGCTGGCTATAAATAACTGGATTTCTGGTCTTTCTATTCATTGCATTTGGTTTATGTTTCTGTTTCTATGCTACCGGCATGTTTGTTTACTTACTACATCTTTGTAATATATTTTGAAATTAGGTAATGCGATGCCTCCAGCTTTGTTCTTTTGGCTCAAGACTGATTTGGCGATTTGGGGTCTTTTGTGGTTCCATATAAACATAAGTGTATAAGTGATGAATGGATAAAGAAAATGTGGTATACATATATACACACAACGGAATACTACCAAGCCACAAAAAGTTATAAATTTTTTTATTTGTGACAGAATGGGTGAATCAAGAGGACATTATGTCAGGCGAAATAAGCCAGATACAGAAAGACAAGTACTGCATGATCTCACCCACATGTAGAATCCAAAATGGCTGAATATGTGGAAACAGAGTACACTGGTGGTTACCAGAGGCTGCAGAGAGCCAAAAGAGCAGTCATGGGGGAAAAGGTTGGTCAAAGGATACATTACTCGAGTTAGGAATAAATTTCAATAGATCTTTTGTACAGCAAGGTGGCTACACTTAATACTCTTGAAGGATGTAGAGTGGGTGTTAATGTGCACTCACCAAAAAAAAAAAGTCAACTATGAGTGGTAATGATGCATTTGTTAATTACCTAGATTTAACCACTGTACAGTGTATGGTTTTGATTTGCATTTCCGTATGTACTTCATAACATCATGTTATTTATGATAAAGATACAATGTCATCTGTCAACTTGAAAAAAATGAAAATAAAATTTAAAAATTACTCATGTGATTACTGTCTTGACTCACTGAATCAAATCCACTGCAATCCATGTTCTCTAGGCACATGGAATTTGACTCATTACAGGCTGGGAATGCTGGATGAGTCACACAAGTTTTCCTTCATTATAAAGTCCCCATGAGGGCTTTATAATGGGCCAATAATTGACCTTCAAAAGGTATGTAATGATAGGTGGAGCAAGATGGAGGCTAAGTAACACCCCGAGTGATCTCTCCACATAGACACACCAATTGAATAGCTATTCTCACAGTAAACTACCTCCAGAAAAGCTAAGGAAATAAGGGATGGCAGCACAGATTTGTTTACATCATTACCATCACAAACACATTTGTGGGTGCAGAATGGCCATGGAGTACACAGGCAGTTGGGAGAAAACATGATAACAGCTAATAGACGGGGATTTCCAGGTCAGATTGGCTTGGCTCTGACATGGGGACATCCCACACTATGGGACCATAAGAACCACTTTATGGAAACCTACTTGAGTCAAAAGATAGAGCCCTGACAATCAGCACAGCCCTGCCATTAGCCCCAGTTGCATCTGGCAAATTTTAGCATGTACCTAAGTGGAATGATTGCACAGTCAACAAACCCAGAATTTGGTACTCTAACACAGACTTGAGAACCACAGAGTCCAGAGAACAGCCTGAGAGAGCCTGGGAAACTTGGATGTCACCGTAGATCAAGTGGGGGAGTGAAATGAGAGTGTGGAAGGGTAAGAGTTCAGCCCCTTGGAGCCAGCGACAGAACTTGGAAACAGAGTAAGTCTACTTCCATGTGCTTGACTCAGCTCAGAGCCTTATAGGTCCTGAGAGTCACTGTGCCACAGATTTAGAGGCCTATCTGTTTCAGATTTAAGAACTGTCTGGAGAGAGGAAGCCACTGAACCACCCTCCTCCCCAACAAAGAGAATATTGACCACTTTTTTTTTGTTCTCTTGCTCCTTTCCTTTTTTGACAGTTACTATATGTGCACCACACAATCAATTTTTAACCATCTCTTCTCCCTCCCTTCCTATTGCCCTCTCTCATTTCTATTCTTTATGTCTACAAATAGATCAGTTCTCATTTTTTTCTCCCTTGATCTCCCCTTCCACTATCCTTTATTGTCATCATTTTTGACAGGTTAGGATTGCCAGATTGCTTTTCCCCCCTTTGTCACCTTCAGTTGGATTTTCTTTACTTGTTGCTTCTCATTACCTTATCTACTTTAGCCACATCCCCTTCCATTCTTACTACCTAATGAATTCATTAACATTAAGCCTATCTTCTTACCAATACTATCCTTTTTAACTAATGGCTTCCTAGTTCATAAAGTATTATCTTTGCTCTTTTACTCCTCTAAAGATACTGGAGCAATGGAGGTCATCTTTCTTAATGACTATATTTTCATAGTGGGTATATATTTTGACTGTAATTGCCTTAGCAGTTAGTCTTTTTCCTGAGTGTAATAGGGGGCCAGACCAAATGTCTTATGTACAGTGGTAAGAAAATACACCAAAACCTAGTCACTAACCAATCTTGTCTAATCCCTGTGAGTAATCCAACTGAAAGGACACTGGAGACGAAAATCCCCAAGCAAAGACTTGGCCTTAGATGTGCTTATGTCCCAATGTAGAAAAACAGTATTAAAAAATGAGGCACTATTATCTCCTCCAAAAATCAACAATTCCTCAATAAAGGAGTTAAGTGGACAAAAACTCAATGAATTTCAATTAATCTGAGAAGCCCTTTACTGTCTATGTGAGAGCCCAACTTGGGTTGTGTCCCTCCTATGTGGTCTCACCTCACCCTGTACATCTTGACACTTCACATTGAAACTGCCCATTGGTTCCACAAACTCTCTAACCTGTTATTATCTCTGAGTGTCCAAGAAGCTTGTGAAGCACCTGATATATACTGCATGCTTGGTATATTTAATGAGAAAACCAGATGAAATCAGGTAGGTGGTTCCTTGCCATTACTTATTTTCTGTAGACTTCTCCATATAGAACATGAATACTTTATTAATGTGTAGAGAACTTGGGAGTTAGGACCCTTAGTGTTTACCTTAATCCATGAAGAAACAAACTTGGAGATGGAATGACTTATCTAATATCACGGAGTTATCCTATGCTCTGGGCAAATGTGGAATGCACTTCTGTATTTCCCCTTTTCATAGCATAAATATTTCCCTTCCTCTCTATTATGTGGCATCCATGTTGCACTGGTAAATTTCAAAGATATGGATTGCTTGAGCACTAGTACTCCGTTCTTTGATACAGCATCTTCTATACTCTTATCTCCAGGGAAATCTTACAAGGATGTCCTGGAATTTACCAGAAGAACTTAACACTTGCACAAATGCGTTTTATTTCCCTTCTCAGCACAAGCCATTCAAGTTCTGTATGATACTGAATGATAATAAACCTTAATTCTTAGTATCCCAATGCAACCATCTTCTGTTGACAATCTTCCTTTCCTTCCAATTTTTCAATCTACCCTTGTAATCAAGTGTAGGTTATACAAAAATTTGAGGGAAGACCTTTAAACACTCAATTTTGAAGCTTAGTCTTTAATCATTTAGCAAGTGCAATTTTTTCAAAGGCTTTCTATGCGTTCCCAGTACCATAAAACTAAAACTCCTTAACATTTAAAAAATAAGGATTTTCTAGGTTTTGTGAAAAGTTCTGAGAGAAAAAGAAATGAAAGAAAACCTTTAATAACCCCAGGAAAACACACTGAGGAAAAGTTGCTGAAGACTGAGATCTCAGTATCTGTTAAACCTTCTGAGCAACCAAACTAGTACCTGGTAATGACTGTCAGAATAACTGGCTGTCATAGCCATCTGAGTTTCATAAAGGAATGATACCATTTACTGCTGTGTTAATAGAAACTGGTTCAGTAGGGATCAGACCTGTATTGACTCTAAATAAAGTCACTAGATTCCAAACCACCAGAACTTCTAAGATCATGATCAGATGACAGAAATGCCTTTGAGCGACCTAATTTGAGTGTCAAGTTGGCTGCCAACAGGCTGTTCCTATGCACTGCTGACAGCAAAAATGTAACCAAGTTATTTGAGGACAGTTTCTACCTACTCAACACTTTTGGACTGTGCCCAACAAGGCAAGACCAACAGCAGAGAACCAGAAAAGTGCTAGAGTAAAAAACTAGAAAATTAGAAAAGAGGCATATTTTTTCTGAAAAACAGAATAAAAAAAAATCAATGTAGATTACCATGCATTACTCCAGATTCTAACAATGGATTAACTATGACACTGTCACATCTCCATTTTTACCCTTTTTAATGCTGTAAACTGGGCTAATTTCCTGAAGTGACAACAACCAGTTCCCACAATCTACTTAAATTCTATTACTGAGAAGTTGACATGAAAAGTTTTTTTTTAACTGCAGACACAGTATGTTTCGTCTTTGTGGTACTGGCTATTGAACCCAAGGCCTCACACAGGTAGGCAAGAGCTCTACCACTTGGGTCATGTCCCCAAACATGCCTCCCAAGCAGCTAGGAACACAAATGCACACTACCATGCCCAGCTAGGTGGTTTAGTGGCATCCTATGTAATCAATGTGCTGAAATTTTATGACTGAGAACACGGAGAATTTTCAAGTATCTTAATTTTTGCCTTTTAAGGGCAGATAAAAGATAATTTGCAACCCCATGTTTGATTTGCATAATAAATTCCACCACTCCTACATAACAATTTTTGTCATTCTTATAGGAACGTAAAACCAGGAGTAAATATCTGTCAGACTAATATTTTGCTTTTTCATAAGTGCAACTTTTTAATAAAAATTTACATCTAGATAAACAATCTTCAGATTTTTGAAACTTTAATAAGATTTTAAAAACATCATGACTTTGAACTGAAAAACATACACATTTTGCACACAAATATTGTAATATGAATCAACTCCAACTCCATTTGAAAACATGTGAATCAAATTACAGTTTTAGAGGTTAGTAATTCACATTTAAGCAAGTTAGCGCCTTGCTGAATGCAGCCTTTGTAAAAAAGAGACTTAGTGCATATTGTAACAGTACACTGTGGTACCATTTAGTTCATTTAGTTGATTTTTTCACTTTAATAAACAAGAGTAAGTTCTTGAAAGTTGGTAGATAACGGCTAACTTCCTATGACATGTGAAATTTCCAATGGTAACAGTTACATTTTGTAACAGAACACTTTCTATAGATTCCTTCTCCTATCTTAAAATTTTAAAAGCAATCATTGTAAGGATTGCATCAACATCAATTTAGCAGAGGAAGATCAACTTTTATTAAAACTGCTTGCATACAAAATATATTGCACTATAACCAAACAAATGTCAACATAAAATCCAATCTGTTGTCGCTATTATGTACAGAGAATATTGCCCAAGAGCAGTTACATTACAAGGTCATTCTACCTTGGTTAATTATCTACAGTATTTTAAACCAAACAGTTTACAGATGATGTGTGCAAGGTACCAATTTCTGTTTTCAAATACTATACATTCCCAGAATAAATAACTAGAAATCAACATTAATGTTTGGCAATACTTTTTAAAAGACTTTAATATTTGTGAAATCATGTGCAGTTTGTTGCCATTTTATATGCTTATTTGTATGCAAGGAAAAGTAACTGTAAAAGGAAAATTCAAAGAAACAAACTCACAAAATACATCAGAGGCAGAACTTCGGTTTGTACGGCTCTGTACAGATTCAGTGGTACCCCTACTTGGGAGTTATTTTTTTTTAAGAAAAATATAACATCTTAGGAGTGAAGGTCCTTCACATATTTTTCCTCAGTAAATTTCATTCATTAAAAAAAGAAAGACTCAGAACCAAAACCAAAACCCAACACATTAAAACAAAAAAGGAAAAACAGTATTATTTGTTACCTAATCCTAGTATGCTTTTCAATTCTTCTTATACATTAGACTTTATATTTCAAAGTTTACAAAACATTTAATCTGCTTCCAATGTTTCTTAGAGAAAGTACCTGTACTTCACAGGGTAATTACATGTACATGAAAACAACTTTCCTATCTCCTTAAAATAAGGTTGAACTTAAAATATGAAAAACATCACAAAATCTGGGGAGGACAAAATTTAAAAAAAGGTTCTCAGTTAAAATTAGTCATCAGGCCAAAGATCAGGCATATCCTACTAACATTCAACTGGGAAGATTTACTCCTAGCTGAAGACATTTTAGCCTCTCTCAAATGAAAAGATAGTTATTTCTTCTGTCTATACAGAAAAATTACACATCCCTTTCAGTAACATTGTCAAACTTCAGTGCAACAAAAGAAAAACAAAAAAACAAGTCCTATTCTTTATACTGCCTAACCTGATGTTTATGTAAGGAAAAAAATATGAAAAGCATGCATTCTATAAAGTACTAATGTTCAACAGGGTTTGCTACATCTTTAACATTTAGTGTTTCCGACTTATCGTCCCTGAACTCTGCATCCAAATATAATATTCCTACCTGCCAAGATATAAAAAAGGCACAGATCATACAACTTTTTTTTTTTGCTAATGAAAATGACAAATGTCACATTACACACATTTCAGGGTCCACTAAAATACTGGAGAAGTGGACCAAAACATAAACTGACACAGGACATGAAATGACACACCATTTCATGAAGACTCCTATATGAGATTGAAAACAGAAGTCTGCTGTGATTATCATAAATGATACTTATTCAGAAGAAACTGAAATGTACTAGTGAGTTATCACTCAATGCAGGAAAATGGTCCAAATTAATAAAGAGTATCACTGCTCAGTACTTTATAAAATAAAACAAAAACCTGCCCTGAAGTGCTAAGAATACTTAAAAACAATGTTTCAAATTTCAAGATCGTTTTGTTTAAGTCTGAAAATTTGTTGCTTATGGCCAATAACAACAAAAAAAAATTCTTAGCAGAATTTGTGTTCATTTCATGCCCTGTGCCATCTTGCCTACTATTTGTCTTTGGCCTAACAAAGTTTTCTAATATGGAATAAGAATTACAGAAATGGTATAGGAAATACAACTTCGGAATTATGCAGTTTAGGGTACTCCGTTCACGAGTGGTTGTTGACCATCCATGCTGTCTGGCTTTTCTTTCTTCTGGTTTCGATCTTTACCCGTACGCAGCCGATTACCTTCACTGGAGGCATTCTGTAATGTTTTAGTGTGGACACTCCTTTCATTATTGCAGTCAACTCTGATCTAAAACAAGTTACAGTTGTTATATATACAGACCAGGTCCTACTATAATCTATAAATGGCCTGAGAAGAGATATCCTGATGAGTAATTTCACATGTTAAAAGGGGAAATGGAGATGAGAATAGGAGAATTGCAAGAAATTAAGGTAAGGTAGGCTCTTTGTTTGGTTTACAATTTTAAAACTCTTCTTAACTGGAACACACTGGTCACCTCACTGCATCCAAAATTAGAGAAAAATCCACAATCCTACTGCTTTTATTCTATGCAATAAAACAGTGAAAAACAGTTAAAATAAATTACTATTATATTGGTTACTAGAAAATATACATGGTATATCTAGATTATATAGTATACGCATATGTAGCATAGTGTACCTCAAGCTAACACTGCACCTTGAAAAGAATAAATTTCTCTATATTGACAGCCCCCATTGTCTTGCAAGAGAAAAATTTGAGGGTTGCTTTCTAGGCTTGTACTTCAGTAAGGCAATTCAGATGCTTTTGCAACTTAAACTCTGAAGAACAGAAAGGTAGGGAGAAATCTGAAGATAATACTTTGTGGAAGAACTAGAATCCTAAGGATAGAAAGACCAACATAATTTAAACAATATTGTAAACATCAAAAAATATTTTTATGTGCCAGTGATCTACAATACTAATAGAATTCCAGAATGAAGATATTGACTAATGAACGTAAAACAGCTACAAATGTGTATATGCTTCAAGTACAAATGTTAAAAACATCCCAAATGTTTGACTGTATTTTCAGTGTGTTAGTGTTAGGTCCAAGATTCAGATATGTGTTTTAAATTTTTTGCTTGTTAAGGGTTCAGTGTTGATTTGTATTTGTGTTCATATTTTCATAGAAAACACAATCTTTTTATTTAATACTCTATTCTTATTATGAATTATAAATATGCATCCTTTTCACCAATATGTACAGCCAAGTTCATGAAACATGTCAATTTAAAAAAGTGAGGAAATTATACAACTGGTAGAGAAATACTTTATATCTTTGTAAAGGACATACCCTGTACAATATTTTGCCAATATTTGTATCTAGGTAAAAGGCCTTTTCTATGCCTGTCCTTAAGAAACTGCCAATAGTTAACATTTACTTAGCTGTGCTATGAATTCTAAGAAATATTCTATTACAAAATTTTTGTCTTACAATAATCTCTCACTAATCATGGGCACTGTTTCCAAACCAAGCCATAAAAAGGAACTATAACTATTTGGTTTAAGAATTAAGATTTAAATTACATGAGGTAGAAGAGGACATGGGTTCTAACAATCAGACACAAAGGTTTGACTATGACTCTACCACATGCTATGTGTGTGTGGGCAAAGGACTGTAGCTTCAGTTTACTCACATATAAAATAGATAATGAAACCACTTACCTCAGTGGACTGCTGTAAGATTAGGTCAGACAAAACATACATGAAGCACTTAGCAAAAGTGCCAGGAGGTGCTCACAGGGTAATTTTAAAATTGCTTAACAGTGGGTTTAGCACTGGCAATGGCCACTTGAGAAGGGATCCTCACAATAGGCCCTGGGTATAAATAAACGCTGACTGCTTCAGCAAGGAGACTAGCTGAACTATTAGTTGTGAGAGATATATCTTCTGTTCCTTACTTTCTACTCAAAGACAATACCCTATCCAAACAATTAAAAGAAGAGACCTACAGGAGTTACTCGAGTCTGTTACTACATTTCAGAATATTTCTTTTCCTGCGAAATTGAGGGTCCACTAATGTTGAGGCTGCCAAAGTCTTCACAAACACTCATACTGAATAGCCTCTAGAGAAATCCTCTTACATGAATACTTGTTACAAAGGACCAAGATTGCCCACAATTGTAATCTGAAGGGAAAATATTTCACATACAACAAATTTGCAATCTTTGGATATGTTTAAAAATAAAGTCATAAATCTCAAACTACCATTTCAAAATAACTTAGATGAAAGAGAGCACATTAAGTTTTACCTGAAGTGACCCATCAGTTGTTCTTCCTTTAGTCTCTCTTGGATTACGTGGACGATTATCGGTTCGGGAGTGATCGTCGTTTCCTATAGGAATATTTTTAAAAGGTTCAACAGTTACTGATTCCAAGATGCTTATCAGAAGTTCTGTATTCCCACATCTTCCATATAGACCAATCACAGAAACTAAAATGTAATCAACAGCCTAGCAACTCCAGTTACATCATGATTAATAATCTGTCCTGCTACCAAAAAAGAAGAAAAAAAATTCTGAAAGTATTATACTTCTGTATCAACAGGTCAATGTAGGTTAACAGTTAGATGCTGATTAGAATCCCCAAATAAAATGAATTACTCATCAGGATTTATGCATATTTTCTACACAAACTATAAAATTTGTTCTAATATTCTTGCCATTACACCAATGAAGGCTGACTCTTTTCTATGATGACAACACAAAATAGGAGAGATAAAATGCTGGTAATGTACCATTGCATCACCAGGGTTTTTCATGAAACTTCACACAGTTGTTAAAATTCACCTTTATTTCTATATAATGAAAACCACTGAACCTTTGAAGCCTCCTCCTCGTCCTCTTCCTCCCTGTCCTCTTCCTCCCCCTCCACGCCGCCGTCCGTCTCCTCTGCGCAGGAAGCTCTCTCTCTCTTCCTCTGTTGGAGCTAATGACCAATCACTGAGTTCATCTCTGTGGTCAGATTCTGTTTCAGAAGCATTTGATGCTTCAGAATTAGTTCCTATCGAGAGTTAAAAGTTATGTACCATTGTCTGACTTAAAAAAAAAAAAGGTTAACAGAAGCTTCCACAGACGAAGTTTCAGGGGGTAATCCAATATTCTTCCCAATTTAGAAACCCACCAATGAGCATTATCATGTTACATTTTGTAAAATAAATAATTTTAAATTCAAACTGAAGGGCTTTGTAAATGCTTGAGGTAATTGTGATTAACAGTTTAATAAAGGTATTTTATTAGCTACCTAAATTCAAACTTGAATATGCCACATCTTTTAACAGCTGTGCTTCTTTAAACATCTGTGCTCTCTGGAGGAAAAGTGCCTACAAGAATTAAATGTAATACTTTGACAAACAAAACTTCTATAAAGAGAGCTTTTAACAAGATTTGGCCCAGGGACAGAGAAGAATGTATACATTTTGTTCACCTCAATGGGTGGCAATGAAGGCCACCATGGCACCTGTCTCAGAGAAGGGTCTTTTGTGGGAATATCCCCAGTGAAGGGGAAATGCATGCCTGATGCATAGCCCACAATTTTCCCTCCCACTCCTACTGGAATAATTAATGATTAATACAGGATTACTACAAAAACTCATGCCTGAAGGTGTTAATGACATAAGGGATGGGAGTGGGGGAAAAGAGCTCCACAGTGAAGTGGAAATTCATTGGAAAAAAGAACAGACTGCTGGGAGAGGGGTTAGGGGTTAGGTTCAAGGTTGGCCTTTGGAGTAAGTGTCTCTTCCCACTCCAGAATATCAACTCTACTACCTCTCTCTCTTCCTCTGTTGGAGCTAATGACCAATTATAGCTTCACCATTATAGCTTCATTCCTGTGGATCTTGAAGGCTTTTCCATCTTAAAGTTCCTTTTTGAAATGCAAATATTTGTGAGATGGATTATACCTTACACCGTCATTAGCAAGTTACATAGTAGATACACAGTTGAGCAAGAAAGACAGTAGGCACTGGTAGGTGGGGACTGGGTTCACTGAAAGGTACTGGGAAAGAAGAAAGAAGTACGGACAGAAGAGCTGGGAAGGCAAAGAGAAACTTCGCCTACTTCTTGACTGTGCCTAGGGCTGACTTTGGCCATGCCACTCAAAATAACCTCATGAGCGAGCCATAAGGATGCAGACCCCTGATTTACACAGTCCATCCAGCAAGTATGACCAGCACATGCCTGACAAAAAATGAGCCACAGTACACAAATGAAAAGTTTTGGCTATACAGTAATAAAATCAGAAGAGTTCGTAAGTCATCAACACACAAGGGCTTAAGCAAATTTATTCCCAATCAGAACATGGACAGAACTCACAACTGCTCTGTGAACTATGTGTGTCATTATCAGGTTTTTACTCTGTATGTCTCTTGAAACACAATTTATCCACTGTGAGTTGGAAACCATGTAGTGAGAAATTGTTATAATGGGATTCTAATGAATATTAGAGATTAGCAGCTATTAAGTCTAGGAACAGATAAAGTTACTGAGTAAAATGCTTAGTTTGTACCTGAAGTATATCCAGGACCGCGTCTGCCGTGCCCCCTATTTCTGTAAGGTCTACTACCTCGACCCATTCCTTGACCATCATCAGTCACATAGCCTTTTTCCTTATCTGTACGATTTGGTGGTGGTCTAGAACTAGCTCCAATCTGTCGCAACTGCTCATCAATTTGTAATCTCTCCAAACGCAACTGGTCTACTTCCTATTTAAAATATACAAGATAACAGTAAAAATAATTTGACATTTTACTTAATACCTTTCTCCTTTTCATCAGATAAAAAAGTATACTGGAAATATTTCAATTTCAGTTCTAAATTTACAGTAAACACTGTTAACACAGAATTATCAGGAAATTGGTCTCCTCAAAAAAAGTTACTAAAGATAACACTGCTGTCTAGAATTAGAGCTATAACAAAAATTTCAATATTCAGTGCTAAAATTATACTGAATAAATTTAAGGTTGAATGATTTGGCATTAATTACCAATTATTCTAAAGCTAAGGCACAGGTATGCTAGTTTGGGGACTTATTGATGGTAGTATAGTGAATAGAACAATACTAAAATGTATGAATACAGATAAATGACATTTAAGGTTTAATTAGCTAAACTTAAAAAATCAAACATTGTAAATGATCTTAATAAAAATAGGTTAATATCTTAATTTGCAAAGTACTGAGTTTGGGCATATTTTTTAAAGAACGTATACTATCTTTGATTGTAATTATATAATTAAGTAAGGAACAAATATTTTCCATGAACTGAAAATGCTGATATTCCTCTTATAAAGGGGGAAAAACTATTTAATAGCTGACCAAAATAGCTATGTCTCACAATATGTCTTGATAACCTCTTCAAGACTACAACTCTGCTAAAACAAAGTATAACAATTGGTATAAATTCAGTTGAAGAAAATATATAGCTGGGTCCACTGATACATAGTACTTATAGTAAGTTGGGTTCTGTCAAATCCAGATGAAACCTCATTTTAACCCTTGCCTTTCCAATCTACCCAAGAACATCTATCTCATTTACTATCTTCAGGGAAATAGATCTGTAATTATGTTAAGTAGTGGGTGTTGCAGTCAAACAAGAGGTCATCATAAAGACTATCTATATGAACGGTCACTGCAGAAGCCCCTGAAAAGCTAAGTTCCTAAAATACTGGAACACTTTGTGGCATCTGGAAAAGAAAGGTCAGGTTAAGGATCTAAGGTGAGTTTCATCTGTGCTCTGAACCAGAATCTGTACTACACTGGATGGGAACAAAGGAAAGACGGGAGGCGAGTGAGTGGCTTCCTCCAATGGCATAATAATAGCTTATGGAATGGATACACAGATCTTGCAAAACAGAATGCTATTCCAGGGTTAGACTACTGGGGCAAAGCAGTCACCTTTTGGTGAGAGACGCCAGGCCTAAGCAAGGGAAGATCTAGTGATAGAAAAAATGGCAACAGGACAGCTGCTGATAATCAAACAAGACATTCAAAAATGAAAAATAAAAGATTTAAGAAAATTAGTCAAAAGAACAATGCAACCCTAACTATCCCAGTTTTCATAATTACTTTATTTAAACTAAGAGTATTAATGAAGAACACATGCAACAGATTAAAGATATAACACACTGTCAAATAAAAACAAGTAAGCAAATCAAGTTGGTGTCCTACCCATGCAAACCTTGCTGGATGAAACCTTACCAGTTTTAATTAAGTGATCATCATTAACAATGAATGAAATGCTCAACTACTGCACTTTTTCTTGCTTTCACTCTTATTCACATACAAGTAGATTACTTCTTATTTGAGTCAGTGAAAAAAATATTAGGATAACGCGATAAATAAAATAGACTGGTTTTAGACTGTGTAATAACAGCTGCATTATAATTTGGATAGACACAGATGCAAAAAAGAAATTATAAAAGTGAAACAGATAATTTTCCATTTCATTAAATTATAGGACATTTTGGCCAAAGGAAATTTCAAAAAGCATCTAGTGTAGGGAAGTGACTTGCCTAAAGTCACATAGTCCACAGGTGTTCTTTCCACAATTGATAGACTCCTGGTTTTATATCCCAGTTTGTAAGCTAGAGGCACAACTGTACTAACACTAACTAAAATAAGCAATTACAAGACACAGTTTATATTTTTAATAACAAGAGTATAGAGAAAAAATATGAAGAAAACATTTAAACAGAGGACTTCATGAAATGCTGGGATTTCTGTGATAAATGACATAAAAGAGACAACTATTATAGACACAAAATTTCACCTAGAATAAAAATCTACAGAAGCTAGAAAGAACCAACAGATTAAGATGCTACATACAGGATTGTGTAAATTGAGTGTAAGTGTTTAACAGAAAAATAAGCATAAATACAGGAATTGAGAATGGAATATTAGTTTTTAAATTTATAATGAAAAACTACATTGTGTTCTTAGAAGGAATATAAGCTACCTAAAGTCAGTATTTTCCTATTACCTTTTACAAGCTCATACATTGTTATACACAGGCTAGAATGAATCTGGTTGAAAGATTATAGAGTTTTTTTATATTTAGTGCAAAAGAATTAAAAGTTACAAGCTTTTCTGTTCTTACCTTTAAGTAGTTCAGGTGATAATCCAAAAGAACAGTGGCATTAGCAATGCTGTCTTTTGTTCCCACAAAAACAAATGGTACCATACCCTGAAAAATAAATTGCAACAATGATCCTAAAAAGTAGCTTGATGATAAATTTGAAAAACACAACTAATAATTAAATTCCTAGCATAGGGTCTGTTGAAAAACAGGCAGACCAATGTTTCAATAAATGAAAACAAAAGTAGTTGGTATATTCTACTGAGAACAAGGACAGATCAATATAGCCACTCCTTAAATGCACAAAATTATGTTTTACATACTATTAAATATTGTCAAAATCACAAAGATACCACTCAAAATCATACAAGCTTTACCATGAGATGCATAAACAAAAATCAGTATTTTAAAATGCTCTAACGAATTCACTTGTAAGGTTTACGTAAATCAAATTCTTTAGAAAAATAATTCAAAACTAGAAACTGGGAATTTAAAAGTTTTTTTGCTAAGTTAATACAATATAAATAAAACACTAAGAAAAAAGAATTAAGATAAATAAAAATCTACTGGCCAATCTGTACAACAAAAAAATTTAAGTACATTCACAAGTGTAGTTTAGTAACACCGAATATATTATAATAACATTCTGAAAAATTTAAAGGCTGATGCCTAAGGAAAGTTTGATCTTCTATCTATGGATTCTACTTTTAATATATGGATAGTTTCAAAAGGCATAATGTAGATGTACTTCTACCTCTTTCTTATCACAAGCAATAGGAAACCCCAGCAACAGCTGTGCAAAAAGTGGGCAATTATGAAAGACATTCAAAATTGAAAATAGTTAAATATTTTGCTATTGAAGAAATATACATGATTACTGACATTTGAAAGTGACCAAAGAAAGTATTACAAGAGCTTTGATGTTGATATATTTAAATTGTTAAGCAAAGTTAAAAGGTATGAGAGGCATAATCACAGCTGTATAGGAGGCATAGGTAGGGAGGATCACTGTCCAAGGCCAGCCTGGGCAAAAACTAGAGACCCAATCATAAAAATAAAGCAAAAAGGGGCTGTAGGCATGGCTTAAGCAGCACACCATTTGCAGGATGCCCTGCATTCAAATCCCACTATTGCCAAAAAAGAAAAGTATAAGAAGCCAAAAAGCTGTTCCTTGAGTAAAGTATCACTCTTTTATACAGAGCATTCACTTGGTAGGTGTGGGTACCATTTGGTTGCTTTTGTCTGTTTGCATTCAGTACACAGCATTTTAAATGTATGAAGGGCTGGCACAGGTTTTTCTTTTTCCTTGTACATGAATGTAGCTGCTGATGGAGAACAAAACTGAACAATTAGAAAATATTGTTTGTATACTGACCTTCATCCAATAAGCAAGACCTCTTAGCAGTAACAACCACTTGAACAATCACCACTGAAAGCCCATGGGCTTCATGTGGATTTTTTTTTTGCACCAAGCATATAAAGTATTAAAACAGTCAAGGCTATAAATCAAATCTTTTTTCTCAAGAATATCATTTTTGGCAGTTGTGTTTCTTCTCCAACCAACTTTGTTGTGAAGCTATTAACTACATTATTTCCCAAAATATAATGTAATGGAATGTTACATTCTTCCCAAATAACTGCCAAAATAAGCTTTAAAATCCTGTGTTACAGATTGACTTCAGAGAAAATCGTTTTAAAAATATTTTCTCTAGTCAAGCAATAATGGTTTATGCCCATACTCCCAGCTACTTTGGAGGCTGAGGTGGGCAAGATAGCAGTACAAGGCCAGCCCCGTCAAATAGTTCACAAGATCCCAACTCAACCAATAGCTGGGGGCAGTGGCATGTGCCTGTCACCCCAACCTTTGCAGGAGGCTGAGATCTGGAGGATCACAGTTTCAGGCATGCTCAGGAAAATACACAAGGAAAGATTCACAAGGAGAAAGGTCAAAATGAGGTGGCAAATGGAGGAAAAAGAGTGCTTCAGAGTAGAGTAAATCCACTTTCTAGTGCACACATCTAGAAGCGTCAGATGGTATGACAATGTTCAGAGAATATCAAATATTTCAGTATAGCTCAAACTTCTCTGAATTACAAAGAGTAGACTGGTGAGAGGTAACACTGGCCAAATAAGGAAAGGTTTTATAAGCAGTATGAAGGCTTTTGAGATTTATCCCAAGGGCAACAGATCCAAATTGCCCCAAACACTCCTCCACCAGCCCCCAATCATGATGTCCACTTGTAGTCTTTCTTAACAAGGGGAATAAACATTAAAATATAAGCTTAATATGTATTTTTCAAGGAATAGTTTCCTACCTGCCAAGCCTTGAGTTCAGGTTTCTGGGATTCCCCTGCTACAATTGATGAAACCACTAACACCTAAAGCAGTATAAGGAATGCAAGTGATGTCATTAACTATAATAAATGATACACAGAAGCCTGAACGCAGGACTTTCACTGCAGGACTTCTATACCCATTTTTAGATAATTAGGTTAGTTCAAATAATGAAATCTAGTTTCTAAAATATGTTTTTTTTCTTTCTTAGCGTATATTTATTATATCAAATAATGGGATTTTAAGTAGTAATTAATGCATGGATACATTTTGACCTACTATACCTGCAAAATTTGATAAAAAATGGAAAAAAGAAAGTCTACCCTCAACAGAATAATGCAATCCCATTATGCTTATAGCCTAACATTTGTCACTGTGAAAAAAATTGGCAATTATGTATCACATTGGTTTCTAGTATCTCATACGGTGGCATTCAGATTTGAAAAACAGACATGAAAAAAATAGCCTATAAGTCTAACCAGAAAAAAAAACACCCAAAAGACTAATTGTGAAATCCAAGTTGAAAAAAATTATAGTGTAATTCAAAGTGACAATAATTCTTACCCTCTGGACTTTTGTACTGTTAGGTTGAGAAAAATGGGCACTGTTTTCCTTTATATCTAAATGCTTTTTTTCTTCAGAGGAATTAGATCCAACTCTTGAATTACTGGCAGGTAGGGAATTTGGTGGCATAATTTCCTGGATAAAAAACAAAACAAAAAATTATAAAAGGGCCAATTTTAAGACTTTATTTAACCACATTACTGAATCAATGATCATATTTTTGTTAAATTTAGCCATTTAATATCTGAATAAGCATATTAGAAACAAATATAATAAATATCCAAAACTTACCTCTTCTTATCAATGATTTAAGAACACAAGACATATACAGTTTTGGGATATAAAATTACAGAATCAAAAATTATGTAATAAAAAAGAAAAGATTTAACTTTAGCTAAAAGAACCTTTATCAAAAGAAGGCAAGATAATATGCGAAAATTATGACACTCTGAGGGAACAGTATCTTGAGTAGTAGTATACAAAAGGGAGGTTTTTCCCTAAACCATGTAAATACGATAAATTTTGCTATCAAAAAGCACATACAGGAAGGTAAAAAGTGACGGTTATAAAATTTAAAGATGAGAATATTAGCGGAAGTGATGTTATGTGAAGAAAAAAATTTAAAGTACACACAATAAACTAAAAAAAGTCAAAGGTTGGAAGCCAGAAAGCTCAGCCATGTTCCAATTTTGTCTTTGTCATCAACATTAATATTTGAAAAGCACTTTACATTTTCACATATTACTTCATTATGCTGTCAAAATATTTCATACACAATATTTCATTAAGTTGTCATTAATACCTGATCCAGTGATGCACGTTTTATATTAGAAACTTATGACTACCTATTTTAAAGATCACAAAGTAAGACTTAAATAGGTTACACTGACTAATCCAAAGTCAAAGCATTAGAAAACAGATTGAGGCTATTATTTATAGTTATACAACTATTTATATTAGGCATGTCAGATAATCAGAATATTTACATTCATGGGCTAGGGTTGTAGCTCAGTGGTAAAGCACTTGTTTAGCATGCACAAAGCCCTGGCCTTGATTCTCAGCACCATAAAAAGAAAAAAACCCGAGTATTTACATTGCATATATGTAGGCCTCTAAATATGTCAAATCAAACAACAGAAAATTTTTACTGTGATTAGACAAACCAGAGACATATGTACCATAACCTACCTCTTCTTGTGGGACATTTTTCTCATTTTCGGCCTCGATCCTCACCCTCACAACTCCTGACTTGTCTACAATCTCCTGAATCAGTTTTCCATTTTTTCCTATTACTTTACCTATGAAATGAATAATTCATGTTGAGGTTTAAAAACACCTCTCTCAAACCCCACAAGCACACTACACTTTAAACTCTTAACATACTAAATATACATACATACATATATACATACTAATATACATATATATATATATACACACACACACACACGTGTGTGTTAAATTTTAAGATTCAAAACCAAGACCCTTGATTAATACATGTGAACTGATTGGGTAATGTTGAATTTTTAAGGCAGTTCAAAGAGAGCCTCTTATATTGCATAAAGAGAGCACACTTAAAACTTGAGGGTACTGTGGTGTTAATCATTCTGCCTGCAAAGTTCTACAAAAGTAATTAAGAAAAGGAAGATAGTAGTAAATATATTTGCTCTTTTGACAATTCCAGCTCTTATCTATATTTGTTTCTCTTTGGTAAATATTTTTACAATTCTATATGGCATATTTGTAAAAGATACTCTCAGTTTAAAAGAAGCTTAAGCAACTATACACCTATCTAAAAGGAATATAAATTCTTTGGGGCAATGTGTTAACAAAATATTATTCCTGGTCATTAGTCACAAGCTAAACCAGTATTAACAGGTGAAGACAGTAGTCATAGACTATAAGATTGAGAAAGCATCTTTGAAGATAACGCAAAACTTCAATGAAAAAGCTTAAAGGTATTCTTCAACAGCACCTACTAAAAACTCCAAAGATTTCAAGGAGGAATAATAAATAGCACTTGATTTTCTTCCTAATTTATAAAATTTATCTGCTTTCATACCCACCATCATACATTACTATAAGACAAGACGTGACAAATGTAAGAACTAATTCCAGAAATTTATGTGTGAGCCGTATTTGATTTCAAGGTCTCAGCTAAGGTACCTAAAAAACATTCTTACACTGGCCATATTCATCATGTGCTTGCTCTACCACATCATGTGAGGCAGAATTGGGGGAAAATGGAAGTCAAAACCTGCTGTGAGCCAATTTTAGATAAATAGCCCAGTGAAAGACTTTTTCATGGAAGGATCCATGTCTCTTGTAAGCAGAACACACCTTTTACACTCTTGCTGGGTACAGCTCCCTTACTCACTCCCATGAGCTCTTTTGTCTGGTTGGTGGTCAGGGTACAGAACTGATGCTATGGTGTTGGGGAAAAGGTTGCTACTTAACAGTCTTCATATGGTTTGTTTGTAAGCTATAATACTTACAGACTCATGAATGCTGATTTTTAACAATTATCTAAATGAGTTAACAAAAAGAAAAGTGAGATTTTAGCATATTTGTCTTTTCTAAATATGATGTTAATTATAGCTGACAGAAAAAAATTCACTGTCAAAATAGGTAAGGAACAAGCATATTTTAAGAAAAGATAAATCCATGTACATACTAAAGAGTTTGTGAAAAATAAAGATAATATTGTAAGTCTCTAAGAAAACTTCTATAATACCAATTATTATGTTTCTCTGAAGAACTGCCTTTACCTTACACAAAAATGCTTTCTGAAAATCCCCAACATTCCCAGTATTGCAGTAGAGCACTTGAAAAGAATTTTCTTATTTTACTAACTAAAAACACAATGAAAGAAAAAAAATAGCCTGATTTACTTCAGTAGGCTTTCTGGTGAAAAAATCACTTCTGGGATTCTCTTCCTCCTAGATAAGACCACAGGTCTACTTTTACTACTTTCTAACAATTTAATTCTACATTACAATTAGTTTTGAATCCCAAAGGTCGATTTATAACAATTCTGCCCTATTGAAATGGAGTTGTTTTAAATAAGGTAAAGGAAAGACAAATAACACAGAGTCCCTTACTAGGCCCAGAACTATGCTATGTACTTCATACACACAAAAACACACCTCTTAGTGAGACAGATGCTATTATCTCATATGCTTGACAGGTGAGAAAGGAAGACTCCACTCTGGGGCAGAGGGGGACTAAATCAGTTGTCCAAAGTCACACAGATACAGAAGAATGAAGTAGGACTAAAATCTAGATTCAACTCCCATGCCCCAGTACTTTTACCTACCCTAACATCATCAATAAATGTTAATGGCACTGACATGTAAGTTTCCATCAATTTTATAATATATAAAAATCAGTATGGGCTATATTTCTCTTAGAATTCCTAAACTTATAATTCATTACTACAAAATTCCTTCTTAGAGAATTCCTTACTATAGAATGTAGCTGCTTGCTTGACAACTTGTAAAGAAAATAAATCTCCTTTACAACCTCACAGTCTTGAGATAATCCCTTCACCTTGTGTGTTCATCTTTTACACCAGCGGTATCTGAGTTACCTCAATAACATTAAAGTCATGTTCTTTAGTTGTCTGTAGTATACAAGTGAGCTAGCTATTCATTTTAGGATTTCACTTGTATTTGTAGGTTATCTTCAAGGAAATTTTCTGTGGGCGGAAAATATGACTAGTGGCTTTTTTCAGTGGGGTCTACCTATGTAGCCCAGGCTGGCCTCAAACTCACCATCCTTCTGTCTTGGTCTCCTGAGTGCTGGGATTACAAACAGGCATGCACCACCATTCACAGCTATTGATAAAGTTTTTTAATGACATTAGAAGATATTTATGATTTTCTGCTGACAAAGAAGCAGGCTAAGTAGGTTTGAAACTATGTACATAAATACATAAAAAGTTCTTTTTTCCTCCTTTAATCTTTCCCAAGAGGATACACAGGCAGTATGTGCCAATCTTATTTGTAAATTAAAAACAATTTAGTGTTCTTGATAAAACCATACCTGATTTTGACACCTTCTACTAAAGATACCTGCAGCATTTGTGACTACTATGAAGTGTTCCTCTGTATGTGTTCACACTATAATGGTGATGGTTATGAAACAACAGTATTCACTGTTACCAGTGACTTTATAGTCTCAAAGACAGTTGTAGTTATTTTTATCTTTGAAACTTACTAGATTTAAGTAACCTACATTCAGATTTAAACCCAGAGATAATTAAAATGAATGTTATCATATTGTAGGTACATTAAAAAGAGATTAGAATCTCTTTGCTTACCTTGTAAAAGTGTAATCTTTGAAATACTTCGCAAGTATTTCCTGGATATTGTAGCAACAGACTATATTTCAAAGATTATGCTTCAATTAAATGAACTCTTGAGTGAGGGAAAATGAGACTTCATTGGTATAAAAAATTGTTTACCTGAATTTTGCTTTTGTAGTGTTATGCCAATGGTTATTTCTAACTCACCTACTAAGTTCCTTGGAACTTGTATGACATCTTCAGCAAACTCAAGAAAGCTTCTAGCCTTCTTCACTGCATCCTGATCCTAACACAAAGGAGAAGATTCAATACAAAAAGATTAACCAGATGAAATACTGATTTTCTTGGGGGAGGGGGACTACCTAGTAAAATATTTACCTCTCCATAAATATGAAATGTGCAGGTATCTTCATCTAGATCAATAGCAGTGACCCCAGGTACTTTTCTAGCTTGCTGAATATTAGCACCATGAGTACCAATAGCTAGACCCATCAGATCTTCTCGTACGATAAACTGTTCATGAAACCTCGAGGCAAGCTGCCTTGAACTCTGAAGAGAAATGCACATCTGATGAATATGCTTTATCAACTATTAAGACAACTGTATTTAGGTCAGCCATGTAAAATACCTTGACCCTATATATGAGGGGTTTATAAATTGGTTTCAGTTAAAAACTAATTTTAGAAAAGATCTACCACAGCATAATTACTTTTTAGGTTACTGGAAGTCTATGCTATTTGATACATTTTTGTTAATACGAAACAGCTTGTTGATAGTTCTCCAAGGTAACTTTTGAAAACCCATTTGCAAGGTTGCCTTAGTTAGCCAATGGCATCAACAATATAATAATTAAGAAGCAGATCAAATGTTCCCAAATAAAAACCAGCTCAGTGGGTCCAACGGACTCAATCTTACTTTAAAAAAGGAAAAACACAATCTTTACAGAAAAGTTTATTCACCTCACTTTTATTAAATGGTATCAGTATTTTTTTAAAATAGTGGCATTTTTATAATTTGTCAGTAGGTACTATGGTCTATGCATCCCTCTGTTGAAATTATGACATTAAAATGACATATTCTCCCTCCCCAAGGAAAGGAATTATAAAGCTTGCTTGTACAGTAGTTAAATGAATGATTACAACATGTTAAGGATTTAAACTTATGTATGAGTATGAAAACTAAAATGAGATCAAAGTCCAACCTTGTGATCTGGATCATATCACAAGTATAAGCTCTTTAAAATAGTTCTGCTGATACCCCAAACTTGTGGATAATTACTGTCTTTAAACAGTATATTAGAATTTAATGTTTAATTCTAGCATGCCATTAATGAACACCAAATGTATTAGTGGCTCATGTTGAAAAATGAGTATTTCTTATAGGAATACATGAATTTCTTTAATATTAGCAGTGAAGAAAACGGACATGTACACTAGTTTCTCATTATTCAACATACTGATAATTTAAATGAATGAATCAATATACCTAGTGTAAACAGCTTTAAAAGTACAATATGCATTTTTTAGAGTAATAAAATATACAAAATCTTCCTAAGACTTTCCAAGAAATCATGTTTTTGAGTCTGGTTTCCTTAGCTTGGTTCATTCTTTTCATTGATAATGCACTGATAAATGGAAAGTCAAAGATATGGTAACAGAGAACTTAAGAAGAATTAGATAAAGAGGCATGTGAGTATATTTCCACAATACTCACAATGAAATTAAGGAGGCTACTCTGGCCTAAAAGTTATGAGAAAATCACTCAAGAAACCAGACAGTTGTGAACATAGGGACATCAAAAAACAGAACAAAAAACAAGTCAAACAGAGCTCCACACTAATATAATCAAAAACATCTCAGAGCTCCATGTTCATAAGGAAAACAAAGTAAATGTTTCCTTTCTTACTAAGATTTCAGCAATTATATATCAAGTTGGAAGGTAGCAAGTTTCATAGGACTGTACAGAAATACAGACTCGACACCATCTCTCTTAAAATGCATTTTGGAACTCCCCTTTTTTTTTCTTTACTATTTCAACTGATGTTTTTCCCATAATGAAATGAATAATGATGAACTGAATTTGACAGTAATCTACCTGAGCTGGCACGATAAAATAAGGTCCACTTAGTTTCTATGATAATGAATGGGAGTACTAGATAGTTATCAATGAAAATAAATGCATGGTGATGAAAATTATTGGAGGATTAATAAAAGTAGATAAAATGCACCTTAAGAGACAAAATAGTAAGTTAGGGAAACAGCCTCTGGCAGGATTCTGAAGACAGGAGTTTTAAAGAGTAACAATCAGTTAGAATGAAGAAGTTCTATACCCTTTTAAACAGAGATAAACATACATAATGAAAGGAATATGATTAGCTATTTAAATACTGCTTAGAACTTTAATGATAATATGTCATATGGAAGAAGCATTGCTTTATTTTATAGCAGCTTTGACCAACTTGTACTAAAAATGAATAGGAAACAAGTTTGTTAAAATACATGAACTGATGTTTAAATTTGAAATGTCAGGCATGGAAAGAATAATATGATTATGCTTTGTGTAATTTAATTTTCCAAACTCTAAGGAATTACTAAGAAATAGTAAATCAATAACCAGCTTCCCATATTTAAGTTTTGGAAAGGTGTAGTTCTCATTTCTAGGTAACCTTATAAGCAGTGCTCGAAAAAGTAACATACCTCCAATTGCTTACTGGCTTCTTCATTTCTCAGCATCAGAGACAACTTAGTTCGCAGACTCCGAAAGTGCATGTCAATCAACATATGTGCTCGCTTTGAAGTGACTTCATTGATGGACTAAGTGATTTAAGTTAACCAAATTAAAATTTTGATTAAAAATCAAAGAAAATGCGCCAAATGAAATAAACTAAACCTAGGCAATTCAAAAATACTCACCAAAATGACAAGCTGATAATTTTCTGCATCATAAGTCACAGAAAAGGCACCAACTGCCTTTTTAAAGTCCTTATGTGCCGATTCTTTGGCACACCTAGAAATAAAAATATCCACTGTTAAGATGAATGATTACCAATTACTGGCATAAATAAATGCAGATAGATTTATCTTAGAAGAATCATGGATTCATATTAAACTCCATTTATATAAAATAGTGTATCAATTTTCAATATAGTTCCTTTGCTGTATATCTTGGAAATAGCTAAATTCAGCATTTAATATTACAAAGAAAAAAAGTTATGCTTTTAAAGGAATACTGACAGGCTTAGATAACTAAAGGAAACCACTCTCTGCAGACTTCCTGATTTTGGTTACATATAGAAGTCAGTTGTTTTCTGGATTCAACTTTTGAAAACTTACAGGGATAGCTTCGGGGTATTTTATTTTCTTTTGTTTTTTCTCCTATGGGGATTTTGTGTGTGTGTTTATGCCAGTACTAGAGTTTGAACTCAGGGCTTTTTCTTGAAGTACATCCAGATCTTTTTGCTTCAGTTATTTTTCAGATAGGGTCACTCACTTCTGCTAGGGGCTGGCCTCAGACAGTGATTCTCCTACCTATGTCTCTTGAGCAGCTGGGATTACAGGCATGAGCCACTATGCTCAGCCTTGTTTCTTTAAAAAAAAACAGTTGACCATCTTAAAGAAGAGAAGGAAATATATATGAACAAGAAGCTACAAAAACGTGCATACACAATCTATAGAGTTGAAAAAGGAGAGTTTATGTGCATTCTGAACTATAATGCTTGTCTGAACTGCAAGATGTTCATATTAGACTTATTATATTCCCCTGGTGAAGACTTAAAAAAAAAGAATATCTTCTCTAAAGTCTTCAATCATCATTGTAGACCAAGGATTAGAAGTTAGAGATTACCTCTACTTTTACTTAGTACATATTTATCTGAAAATGTTTTAGGTAGAAGAGAAAAAGCCTGGAGAAATCTTTGTACTCTAGAATTTGACTTGTGACTTATTGATAGAATTATCACATCTGTTTTGTGCTTTGAAATCTTAAAATTAATGAAAAAAGTTTATTTTAGAAAAGTAAATACATGTTACATACATTAGCTACGTATATCTAGTCAACTAAGTTTAAACAAGTACAAGCCTGGTTTGCTCATATAATTAGGAAAATCTAAATAATTTCTCCCAAGTACTTTTGCAAATAAAATATTTGTGCCCAAGTTCATTGAATGAAAAAACCCACTTGCACTATTTAAAATTTATATTCTTTTAAATTAAGTGCTTATCACTTGTATGTTCTTAGAATTTCTTCTATAACAACTTACATTTGTCTTAAGTCTTCTGGCACCTCCAATTTGATCTTATGGAAAGTATCTTTTGTTGCAGGTTTGTTGGGATTAACTGATCGCAGTCGCTCAATTGTGACAATTTCATTGTATGTAGCATCACATGCTGCATATTCTATTACATAAAACTAAGAGAAATAAATAAAAGTCATTCTTAGTCATAGCTTTTGCTTTTTTTTTTCTGGAACTGGAGTTTGAACTCAGGGTTCTCGCAAAGCAGGAGCTCTACCATTTGAGCCACACCTCCAGTCCATTTTGCTCTGGTTATTTTGGAGATGGGGGTCTGCCCAGGCTAGCCTCAAACTGTGATCCTTCCAATCTCAACCTCCCAAGTAGCTAGGATTACAGGCTTGAGCTACTAGCACCTGACTTAGTCATAGCATTTTTTTTTTTTGTAATTCTGAGGCTCGAACTTAGAGTCTACATATTGAGCCACTCCACCAGTCCTCTATTGTGAAGGGGTTTTTTGAGATAGAGTCTCACAAACTATTTGCCCAGGCTGGCTTTGAACCACGATCCTCCTGATCAGGTAGGATTACAGGTGTGAGCCACTGGTGCCTGGTTTAGTCATAGTTTTTAAAGCAAGAGCAGTATCTATTGTTATTTTAAAAATAAATTATCTAGAGGATATAAAAATTTAACTGAAACACATGAAACATACAGTGAAAACATATTATTAATAAAATGACAATATCAGTTATCAATTCAAAATATCTAAATTAAAATGTAATGCTAGATTAAGAAAAGGGAAACAGTATGAGAAAAACAAGTATTTTCTTACCTCACCCTTTATCATCCTCACTTTAGCTAACCACCAACAACAAGGCTCTTTTTCATTTGCTCTGGAATAAACCTACATGAAAATTACAACACAAAATATTCTGTGATTAATATAATTTACAAATGTGCAGGAAATTAAAAAAAATTTCACTAGGTTTCTTTTAAATAGTATACCACATGCCTTCTACCAAATTGCGCTGTTGTATGTTCCCTGAGATAAAGATACATAATCAGAAACTACACAAGATTGCCTGGGAGCTCCTGGCTAAAAGCACTTTTCCTACTTTTCTGTTCTACTTCAGTAAGAATTAGTACTCTGAACATGGATGCTTAAGGAAAACTGATACACAAAAACATGGGTTTATTTTCCTTATGTACTTAGTGAACTACAAAAACATACCTAAAATGTTCAAATTCGTTTTTATTTTATTCTAACAAATACAAATGAATTGGAATTTACTGACTCTGGCCTACTGCCTGGGCATGAAATGGGTGACTGCGGAGTGCAAGCCCACTAGGGACACCACCCTGGCCTTCATGTCTTCTGGGGAGTTACTCATTGGACTCCTGCTTCCTTTCCCTTAAAAAGGACAAGTCCACACTGGTAATCTGGATATCACCTTCCTGATCTTTTCACACATTGTGGGTCAATTCTTCTAACTAATCTGTCTGGTGACCACATCAAAGTTCACTTACGATGTGTAGCATGAAACCTTTTTGTGAAGACACTAGCAAATTAAGGTTGACAGGAGACAATATTGTATAAATGGAAAAAAAAATAAAGTACTCAGAAGTAGAAAGGAAAAGTGAGAAACAGGAGTGGGGCGAGGAGGCCCAGAGAAGACAGAAAGGTAGAGTCTAAGGCTAACAAGTAAGTCAAGGCTCAAACTCATCTCCCGTTTACAGACAGTTAATGGTTACACAATTCAGTGACTTTTAAATCCAACTTAACCTACCTTTTCCTCTTGCCTCCATCCCTCTCAACTCTGCTCTATTGTTTTTCTTTTGGTAGTACTGGAGTTTGAATTCAGGGCTTCATGCTTGCTTGGCGGGTGCTTTACTGCTTGAACCATACCTCCAGCCCTTCAACTTTCCTCTCACCAAAGAAATAACCTCATCTAATTGTTATATATCACAGTCAGGTTATCCTAGCAATGGCATCTCATTAGGCCTTTGTGACTAAGGTGAAAAACAAAAAGGTCCCCTTTATCCCTCCATCAAACACTATTAGGACTAGCAGTGATACAGATATACCAAAAGAACTGGACCTTATCATCACAGAGCTGTAGCCTCCTGGGGAATTAAGACAGCTAATGGTCTTGATGTATAGGCAACATTTCTGTTCCCTATTACTATCTTTTGGAAAACAAGCCCAGCTGCTTGCACTTATTACAAATTTGGAAAATCAATAATAATTTACTATTTCTCCTTTTATAAGTATGGAGAGAAGACACAGACATAGACATTCACAGACCTTCCCTGACTATTCTCTAAAGCAAAACTCCTGTTCCTATATTACGTTTCATTTTTTTTTCTTCATATAACTTTCACTTGCCATGAAATTAGCTAGCCTCACTAGAATGTGACTTCAAAAGAGGGAAGAGACTCTGTCCTGTTTTGTCGCATTTTTGTTACCCAGAACAGAAAATAAGAATTTAAGGACCTAGTACCATTTTGCCTTACCTCTATACAAATGTCTATTTAGGTGCTTTCTTCATACTACAAATATACATGGTTTCAACTATAACAAGTCATTATGCTAAGTACTGTGGAGAAAAAAAGAGAAGTATCTCAAAATGGAATGTGGGAAAGGAAAGGAAGGGCAAGAGGAAGGGGAAGGGAAACGAAACGAAAGGGAAAAGGGAAAGGAAAGAAAGAAGAAAGAAAACTATATAAAATAACACAAAAAACATTATAAATACAGCTTAAATACAAAACCAACCCCCAATGAATAGAGAATCACAAGCATAATGATTATGATCATGTGCTAAATCTCCATAGCACCTTTTGGTCAGGGCTAAATGAGAGATAAGCAGGTGGTTCACAGTATATCCTGTGAAAAAGTAGTTTTACCTGTGTGTATACACTAAAAGTTATAGATAAAAAAATATATCAGGAAGATCCACTGCTACTAAAAGAAATTCTAGGTTACTGCTTTATTAAATATGATGGTTTCTTTTCTCTGTACAATTAATTTTCCTAATCCATTTTGCTTAAAAATAAGAGCCCATTTATAAATGAACAATGTATTATCTATCCAACAATATTCAGAGATTGAGGGAAATGGTAAAACATATACTAATGGAAAAAGGAACTTGGGACACTGAATTTCAAAGATATTCCCTGAGTGCTGCTCAAGTAGCCAAATTAAAGCATCATGTTATCATTTCAAATCAGTTTTTTATGGGCTAGTCAAAAGCACATGTCCATCTCAGCTGTAATACTCAAAGGTAGTTTAAACACTGCTAAAGGAAAGGTATATTTAAAAAAATCCAGAAAAATTAAATACCCCCACTCCTTCAGTATTTTATAACTTTATGGCAGTGGGAACTCACCTCAACTTCATCACTTTCATTGATATCTTTATTGTAACCTACAGGTGGTGGGAATCTCACATCATGGAATGGAATCTGCCTTTCTGGCTGCCAGCTACAAATAAGCAAACATATTTAACATGGTTTTGGTGTTTAACTGAAACAGTGATCACTCTGCAATCAGCTTTGCTTAAGTGTGACTCTTTTTTCTGGTTTAAAGAAGCAAATGTTTTAAATGGCCAGTTTTTGCTGAGTGGAGCATAATGACAATATATAGACATTTTAACAAGTCTGCATGCAGCATAGCAGCCTTGTACTCCCATATGAACTATTTCTCTAAACACAATAGATCAAGTTGATTTTTAAAATGTTTTTCAGTCAATAATTTCAACTTCTAAGAGTTTAAACATTAATTCACAACAAAAATTTCATTAATGTATAAATTAAATGCTAGTATCAGTAATTGTTAGTAATATCATCAACATACTTCTATTTGCAAAAACTTTTAGATCACATTCCATCAACCACAGAATCTGCCCTCTAATTCCCAAGCAGAATGGGGCAGTCAGCACATGAGCAATTAATTCACAACTCACTTTTCCCCTGTTAAATTTTAGATCCGACGAGGTGGTCAATTCTTGCCATGGCAGCTGGATGCTGATCAGTATCACATTATCAGCATACACTGGGCTGGTGGGGGTCTCCTAAACCCCAGAAACCCGATTGAGACATCCTATAGGAGTTTGATTAAGCTATTTTTTAAAATTTAAAATGATAGGGAACAGCTTTAAAAACACCGAATTATTCTTTTATACCCAAAATCGTATGAAATATTAAAAGAAACTTTAAAACACTGGCGAATTCAACTTCTGGAGCAGTGACTTCTAGGTTCTTTATGGTGAGTTTCATCAGCAAATACTGACATCTACTCTAATTATAATGTCTATGTTTTGTTAAAGGGCTTTCTTAGTAAAACTCTATCGAGGAATGCTAATTTTCCCTTTTCTGCTTTATTATTATTCTTTATTAGTTATATGAGGGGATTCATTGTATCATTACTGTTTATGCTTACATTGTACCTTGGTTAGGTTTGCCACCGCCATTTGTCTTTGTTTTTAAAGACCTATTATATAAGAGGATAAATAATTACATCACAATTTATAGACATCTGATGAGAGCTGAAATTAGACTGAACCTTTCCTCTGACTTATACATACTTGAAAACTATGTAAGTTTTTTAAAAAAATCTTTACTTCAGAAAAACCTTTTTATACATATTGACAATTATTAATTTTTAATATGCTTACAAATTCATCAGTATATTTGATTCGTAAGGCACACACTAATGCAAAATAAAATTTTCTTGGTTCCAAAGAAGGAAAACTAATTCTTTAAAGAGGTAAAAATTCAAATTTATTACTCAAAAATGTGAAATATGGAAGGTATAAACAAAGCACCCAAAATAATCTGGTATCACAATAACAGAAGTTCCTCTATGACTGAAAGAGTAATATCATCTGAAGTCCTCCCTCCCTCCCAACCAAAATGGAGACACACAAGGAAGGGTAAAGAGACTACTTTGGTAGAGACCTATCAAATCCTGCTGGTGTGCTCAGTCAATCATACATATTCCATGAACACAAGGAAAAACAGCTGAAGGATTTCAAATTCCCACGATAGCTTCAGAGAAATTTTTATGTAGATATGGCATGGGAGATTAAAAATTAGGAGGTAAATAGATGGAGTAATTTTATGATACAAACCAAATTTTATGATTGAAAACCAAAATGAACTAATCTGATTAATCAGTGTATAAACCAGATATATGTATAGAGGAAAACAGTGTTTGCTTAATAATACTTTAGATTTACAGTTTATAGGAGAAACTAAGAGTGGCAAATGAAGATAACTCTCCTATTATGGGAAACTATTTGCTTAGTGAAGAAGGTAAGCAGATAAGAGTGTGAGTGGACAAAAAAATTACTCTCCAATCTTTGATAACAAAGATTCTTCCGGTAAAGATATAATGCTGTTGTTGCCTATGATATATAACCACGGATACTTCAAACAACAAAAAAGGCAAATTCTGGACTTCTGGCTTTCTGTATTAAGAGAAAAGTATTTTGTTATTTAAGCTTGTATTTTAAACTGATAATATTAGTCTCAAGTTGAGAACAGGGGTAAATCTTCTCAATCATCTTACCTGTGTCTCTTTAAATGTGTTTCAGGTATCTAAGGGACACTACTTTGTTCAGCAGCTAGCTAAAAGAATCTACTTGCAGTCTAACTACAAAATTTTCTAGAAATTGAAATGCAGGTCTGCTCTTAATTTTTTTTAGAGGCAAGATATTTTTATTTATTGCTCAGTAGATCTAGGACACACACCTTTTAGCAGATTTATTGAAATGTATTTCATAAACCTTATAATTCACTCAAGTGTACATTTCAGTAGTTTGCACAGGTATCAGCTATTATTACTAGTGAAATTTAGGACATTACATCACCTCAAAAAGAAGTCTTGTATCCTTCACTTAAGGCCTCTCTCCCACCCTTTAACAAGTACTAAGTAACCACTAATTTACTTTTTGTCCCTAAAGATTTTCACCCTGCTTTTTATATACTATTAATTCTCTTGATACAGAAACCTCAAAACTTTGTAACTCATTCATCAGAGTACAACAAAATCCTAAGATCATGGCCACACTTACACTATGGCTAAAGAGTTTATATGTACTTTAGTGTCCTGAATGGCTACTAGGAAAATGTTCTTTATTAATACTCAACGAATTTAGTCAACCTACTTATCTCACCCAATGAAATGATAATATCTCTATTATTGACACTTTTACATAGGTAATGCTCCTAGATCTATAAGTATTTTTAGTTTATGATCTAACAAAAGAAAGCAGAAAAGATCAGCTGTTATTACTGATTATAAATATATGAAGGATAAAAATTAAGTTATTGGATAAAAACACAGTTATTTCTGATAAAATATACAAGACAACTAAAACCATCAGTTTTAATGTTATAAAGACCATAGATTTTATTGAAAATATCCATGAATCCCTTAATTTTTAACTTTTAAAAAATTACAACTATTCCCACTTAAACTCTCAGTTACTAATAAGGAAGAATATGGTTTCTCTCTTCACAGGTACGGGGACTAAAAGATGAAGATTGCACAGTAGGGACCTCTGAAATCATTAGCAGACTCCATTCCATTGATTTATTGAGTTGTTCAGGAACTTTTGGTAAGTTAATAGGAAAAACACTCAAACCAGATTTGAAGTTTTTTTAAAAAACTGAGGAGCAATAAGAGGAAGTAGTATAAAATATTAAAGATCCTGAACATTAAATTTATGTGTTAAGATACTTACTTATTTTCAAATGCTACTGTTATTGAATCTTCATGAACATCCTTTACAAATGCCTATAAGAAAAGTACAAAAAATTAACTTGGAAGCTTTAAGACCAATTTTAGTTAACTTTTAGAGATCAGTCTGTTTAAGAATAAAATACAGCTTGACTCAGTACCTGAGGTATATTCCTTTGTCACATCTATATTGTCCCATACCATATGCTAAGCTGTAGGAATATTTAAAACAATAAACAAGAAAAAAAAATGCTTCACTAAATTTAACATGTCATACAGACAAGTATATTGAAAATTACAATACAGTGGTGAGTATAAAGGGCTACAATTATTAAACTTTCAGAAGAATCTTCTTCCACAGCCATATGTCAATCAATCTAGACCTGTTGTAATTTAACTTCCTTTAAGTTCCTTTTTTTCTATTGTCCTTCCCCTCTTTTTACTTATTTCCTATTTTTTTAGGTTTCAGTTCAGATATCATCTTTTATGGGAAATCTCAGAGGACTAAATTCCTGTACTCTGCATTCTCATAGCATTCTGTGCTTACCCTAGTATAAACCTGCCCCACTATTATTATTATTATTGCCCGTTTTCTAACTGATAGTGAAGATTCCTAAGGGTGGTTTTACCTCTTATTCTTTTTTACTCACAGTTACCTTCCAAAGTACTTAGTATGAACTCAATGAATAATTAAGTAGATCATTTCCTAAGAGGTTCCTATCTCAGCCCCGGGAAAAGGTCTACATGTGGGTGGTGGTGGTAAGTTGATAAAGAAAGATATACTGAAGAGTAATATAGATAAAACTTACCCTTAGAGATAAGGATAAAACTAGTCAGGGGAGGATGGAGGGGCATTCTACTAGACCCAAGGCAGCAAGAACAAAGGCTTAGACAGTGAGAAACAGCTTGGGATGTGATAGAAATAAAACTCTTTGTCAACATGGAAGCCAAAACAATTCAATAGGGGAAAGAATAGTTTTTTCAACAAATAGTGCTAGAATAACTGCATATTTACAGGCAAATCAATAAACTTATACCCAAATGCATCCAAAACCTACATAAGGGCTAAACTGTAAAATTATTAAGAGAAAACATAGAAGTTCTTATGACTTTGTATACTGGATATACACATTGGTTATTGGAAAGAAAATGACTTAGGATTAAGACAAATCTTTGGCTTTTGCATTCTTGGCAATTGGCACAATTTTTAGTACAGTTAATGCCAAATAAATGTTTTACATAAACAAATGATTTAAGGCAAACATTTTGATAAATATGTCCTCAAAAGCCTCATTTAAAAAGGATTCTTTTTGGGGGTGGGGGACAGAAGAGTTTGAACTCAGGGCTCCAAGCAATCTACCACTTAAGTGATAGTTCCAACCCTTTTTGCTTTAGGTTATTTTTCAGATCAGGTCTTGATTTTTGCCCAGGGCTGGCCTTGGACCTGATCATCTTACATAAGTAAGATGTCCCACATAGCTAGAATGACAGGCATGTGCCAACAGGCCGGGCTTGTTTTGTTGTGATATGGTCTTGCTAAGGTTTTGCCCAGCCTGGACTCGAACCATGTGATCTTCTAGATCTCTTTCTCCTGAGTACCTGGGATTACAACTGAGAGCCATCACACCTGGTCCCACAGGATTCTTTTAAAAAGTAAAATTTCCCCAAATACCTAGTTGAAGCAAATGAGTCAAGCATTAATTACTTTCTCCTAGAAACAAACTATAGTAGCTAAGGCAGGGCCCGGGAAAAACACTGCTATAGAAGCAACATAAAATAGAGACACCAAACTTCAAAAATGCTCAAATAAAAAAAGCTATCCTAAAAAGAACGTTTCCTTGAGCTGGCAGAGTAGCTTAAGTGGTACAGTGCCTAGAAAGTACAAGGTTTGAGACCCTGAATTCAAACCCCAGCACAGCAAAAAGAAAAAAAAAGTTTCCTTGAAAAAAAAGATGTTATTCTTTAAATATGAAAGGTTCCCCATAGGCTCATATGTTCAACTCTTGGTACCCAGCTATTTAGAAAGGTGCTGGAAATTTTAGTTGGTAGGGACTAGCTGGAGAGAGTCAGTCACTGGGGGAGGCTATACCTTGTCTGAAGTCCCTTCCCGTCTCTTTCTTCTTCCTGGCTGCCATGAGGTGAGCAACTTTGCTCAGCCACTCACTCTTGCCACCACAATGCCTTATCACATGCCCATAGCAATGGTGTAAGCCAGTCATGGACTGAAGCCTCTGAAACCAGGAATCAAAACAAATCCTTCCTCCTTTTAAGTTATACTCTCAGGTATTTGTCAAAAAACTGCCTAATTGGTATATAACTACCAAACTATATGGTTCAGAGACCTTCTGACGTGGTTTGTGATTAAGAAATTGGAAACATTTGGAGATGTGGACTAAAAAACTCCTATACTGCTGTAAACGAGTGTATGGGTGATTCTGGTGGAGCTCAGAAAACCACAATACCAACAGAAATACAGACAATGAAGGCTAGTCTCACAAGGTTTCATATGGAAATGAGGATTCTGTTTGGAATTGGACTAGAGGCCATTCATTCTACATTCTGGCAAAGAATTTATTTACATTTTGTCCCTGTCCTGAGACCTTGTGAAGGACTAAACTTAAAAGTTACAGCCTAAATAACCTAGTGGAGGAAATTTCAAGGTACCCCAGCATTCGGGCTGTGGCATGGATATTGCAGACTGTTTTTAGCTAGGTTTATAGTGAGAATTGGGAGCAAAAGACAGAGCAGAAAGATCTGGAATATGTGCAGTTTTGCAGAAAAAGGAGCACATTTAAAGTTGAGGCTAGGGATCAGCTGTGGTACATATCTGTGATCCCAGCTACTTGTGAGATAGATAGAGGAGGACTGGTTTGAGGTCAGCCCAGATGAAAGTTAGCTAGACCATATCTCAAACAAGCTGGATGTGGTGGTGCACACCTGTAAAATCAAGCTACTTGGGAGAGGTAGGAAGATCATGAGACCATAAATGAAAAGATAAAAGCAAAAAGGACTGGAGCATGGCTCAAGTAGTAGAGCATTGCTTAGCAAGCATGAGACCCTGAGTGTAATCCCCAGTGCCACACAAAAAAAATAAAAAATAAAAAAAATTGAGGCTAAGGAAGGCATGGTTCCTGAAGAGATTAGTGGCATTAAAAACAAGTTGAAGCTTACACCTGTAATCCTAGCTACTTGGGAGGCTGAAATTGGGAGCACAGCAGTTCAAAGCCAGTAGGGGCAAATAGTTTGTGAGACTCCATCTCCAAAATAACAAGGATAAAATTGGAAAAATGAGTTAAGGATATCTTAGGAATTGGCCATGTCATGAATTGGCCAGACTCCACCCATCCCAGGCTATAGATTATAAAAGTGTAGATTCTTTTAAACTAGGGCAATCTGACCAAGACTCTTCCTTGAGAAGAGCACACAAGGCTGCTACAGTTTGTTCTGAGTAGGGCCAGCGACTACTGTAGCTGGCAGCAGACCTTGGACATGGAGAATGCAAGAGTTGTGGGGTCATGGAGGCTTCTACGCAGACTTTAAAGGAAAGCTGAAAAGCCAAGGAAGCAATGTGTAGCAGGGTTGCAATCCCTAAGGGGAGCCCCTGAGATGGTGATACATGAAGCTGTGAAACTAAAGCTGATGATATAATGGAGACCTCAGGAAGTTGGAGATTCCAGAAATGCTGATGGGCTACTGAGGAAAGTTACAGGCAGCAAGCAAAGCCAGCCAAGTTCTTTGGCTCTAACAACATACTACATTCCCCAGATGCTGGACATGGGAATATATGATTTTAATAATTTTCTTGCTGGATTTCTGTCTTGCTTTGTCCCATCCCTTTCTATGCCTCCATTTCTCCCTTTTGGAATGAAAATGTTTACTCTCTGCCACTGTATTTTAGAAGCATGTAATTTCCCTTTTTATTTTACAGGGGCTCACATTAGGAATATGCCTTGGGTGTTAGGGGAAACTTATGAACAATGTTCTGTTAAAACTTTGGTAGTTGAACAAAATGCATTTTGATTATGAGATGGGCATTAGCCTTTGGGTAACAGTGGATGAACACTGTGGTTTGGGCTCATGTATTGAACACTTGGTTCCCAGTTGGTGGGACCAGCTGGAAGAATTAGGTTACTGGGGGCTATACCTTACCTTACCTTTGACCCATTTCTCCCTCTCTCTCTGCTTCCTGGCTGCCATGAGATGAGCAACTTTGCTCAGCCACATGCTCTTGCCACCATGATGTTCTGCCTCACCACAGGCCCACAGCATTGGAGTATGCTGACCATGGACTGAAACTGTGATCAAAAATAAATCTCTTATCCTCTTAAGTTCTTCTCTTGGGTATTTATCACAGACACAGAAAAAACTGACTAACAGAAAAGATTAAGGTGGACTATAAAGGTACCCATGTGCTCTGGTGTACCTAAGGTAGCTAAATTATTATTTTTAAATATATGTATATATCCTTATAGTCAGTAGTTTAAAGGGGGGAGAAATCCACATTCTCTTCCTATCATTCTTATTTTGCTTATTTCTACTCAGTTATATTTACATTTTCTACAACATGTTTTAAGAACTCTAGTTTAATACTGGCCATGATATTTTAGAACATACTAGATTTCATAAAGGCACATGCCTCCAGTGCTCTAAGGGGTTGTTCCCTCTCTATTATTTCAACAACAAAGGTGCCTGATTTTAAACTAAGAGTTGTAGGAATTGGTCACTAGGGCTCTTAGTTTTATACATGAAGACATAAAATTATGGGGAAAGGCAAGGGCATCCCTTCATTTCTACTACTCCAGTGAAAAGACAAGATAGCTAATACCAAATTAACAATGTACATTTGGGTGATAATTAGACTACTGACTAAAATCAAAACCCCTACTTGGTGACTGATCCCTTATTTACCAATAAAGGTTACTGCTTTCTGTTTATATCCTTGTCTAAAGTTGTATAATGTTTGCCTATCTTGGCAGTAACATTAGTTATTTACTGTGTATTATTTACTGAAAATGTTAAACTCTTTAGTCAGCTAACAGAACCTTGTTACAATTGGG